AGTGGCTAGTTTGTCACTGACAAGAGTTCTATTCTCAAAGATAGTTTTGTGTAGGTATTCACCAAACTACGATGTCTAGAATTGGATCAACTAGGCTATACTAAGATAGTTCTAGTAGACACCGACACCCTCTGTGTTAAGAACATGGACGACCTATTTGACTTGGAGGCACCAGCTGCGATGAAGAGGGGTGCATGGCAGCCTCAGCATGGTACCGAGTTTCGAGCTGAGTGGATGTACTCTAGAGGATGGTCAGTGAGGGGTTTATATGAGGCACGCTGAGGAGAGTGGTCAGGTGGGGTAACAGTACAGGCATTAATGCTGGTATAATGCTACTGACGCCTAACACATCCGAGCTAGAGGGGATGATTGAGGAGATCAGTGATGACACTCATCCCGAACACTGTTATTGCAATGGGCCCGAGCAGGACTACCTCTCTCGGTATTACCCACAATGGAGGCATATAAGTTGCAGGTTACCTAATTCGTCATTATGGCTGCTCACGTCAGCCTTCCAGCAGGTACAATTTCCAATTACACCATCTATATTTCCACTGCATGGACAGCCCTTTCTATACGAGCATTGAGTGGAATACTCTAGGTAAGGATGATATCAAGATGTTTCATTACAGTACAGAGACTAAGCCTAGTGATTGGGTCTTGGAGAAGATACTGGCCTCAATTGATGGTATGTATCTTCTCCATCTAACGCCCCTCCTCAGTACCAGTATAGGTAACGTGCCTGAGAGCCTAGCGTCATTTGCTCTGACGATGAGGTCGAGATTGCCAGGCTATGTTGGAATATGCGCTGTTGATCCTGCTATCACACTAGGGATGAGCCCATCTTCTTGGTCGTTCCCGTGAGTGCTAGGCCTTGCTCACACTGGGAGTCCACACTCAGCCTGAGTGACTCAGGTATGGCATGTACATGTCGGCTGATTGGGTGCGTACACGGTATTGGCATGAATGGGTGTGTCGCTCCCCCACACTGTCCACTTGTACCAGCACTCTAGAAGCAGTGAACAGTGAGCCCGATACTGACGGCTCTAGTGGATCATCCGGCTGGCAACTTCACGAAATGCCAGAATACATCAGCCGTGGAGCTCTAGAACGAGCAGACAACCTGACAACAGCGGCATTCGAGGAATGGTATCGGACTTACCTAGCTGCAATGGAGCATCTCCATGCGTGTGGAATTGACTTGGAAAGTATATTACTCCGAGGATTGTGTGGAACTTTGTGTGCTGGTTGCAATGAACTGCTACTATCAGAGCCACCCCGATCTTTTCCACTGTGCGTGACGAGTGTCAAGGGAGATGAGCATTATTGCTCGTACTGTTGTGAGAGTTGGGAGACCAACCATATGTGGGATGAAGACTACAACATCAACACCGTCGATAGAGTGGAGGAGAGGACGGCAGGAGAGAAGGAGCGCGACTGTCAAGTAGAAATTTGTGAAGTGGACACCGTTAATGGCGATAGTGAAGTCCTGGTCGAATCTAACTTCGAGAGTATCAACTCCTACAGAGTTAACCCTCGATATGTTAAGGAGGACGAGACTTGGGTGGTCATTGGCCGCCTAGTCCATGCAGGTAAATGTCCTGATGAACGCCTCCATGTCGGCACCGCCACATGGAAGGCCGAAGCATTTCGTAATGGTTCCATCTCGAGGCCTTGCATTGCACCCTTCCTTGATCAGGTATGTCCTTCACACTCGGACTCGACCATCAAGCGTGTCTTGAGGATCTACCCGCTCGAGTGATTGAGTTGGTGGACAGCAGGGACAATACAATAATCGCAGTGAATCCTCGGGGAAGTGTCGCACTGCCATGCCAGCAAGCGACTCATCGTGAAGCCACACAACCAGTCCTAGACCCTGGTTCAACCGCTAAATTCACCATATCTG